TTTATCCGCTCCTCAAATCCATCTTCTGCTAACCATTTCTCCATTTCTCCTTTCTTATACCCTCCTCTAATGACCCAAATGAAAGGTCTGTTTGATGCTTCCAAGGCTAAACCCAGTTCAATTAACTGTGGAGGTGTTAGGCGATTGAGACTTCCAAAGCAAACATAGATTACAGAGCTTGTTGGCCATGAATCAAGCCACTTCAAGCATTGATTTTTATCCGTTAAAGCCTCTTGACCTCTTTGAGCTTTATCAAAATTATCCCTGTTGCATAGTGACGCAGGACCAACACACCATACTTTTTGTTTCTGAAGTTTTTTATATGATTCTACATATTCTGCTTCCAACTCCTCAAAACTGTTAACTATTAAGCCATACGCTCCTTCTTCTGCCGCTATTATTTTTTTAGCAGTCTCTTTCATGTTAAATCCAGGATTGAGGTTTCCAGGTAGCTGTCCTGTTGTGAATTCAATTCTGTCAGACAGGCCTGGCACCACAAAAGGCTCTCCATCGGAAACGCATTCATGGACCTTGGAAGTGCTTATATTATGACAGCACAAGAGAGTGAAGCAGCTTTTCCCATCGAAGGAAATCCTTGGAATCTGAAACTTGGAAGCAATTTCAGCTATCCATGTGAAATTCCTGTCATATATAATGCAACACGGACGGGGCTTTAGCTCTTCAAATATCGTCTCTAGTGGTTGCTGCAGCATGCTCAACGCAGAGTAAAAATTGCTAATCAGATGCATGGAAGGGAGATTGTCAAGAGTTTCACACCCCTCCGGTAAACCAGCCTCTGCAGCAGGAAAGTGAAGTTGTAGGACACGAATGGGTAGCCCAGACTCAATAGCACGATCGATAGAAATGCTTAAGCGGGCAGCATTCTGAGGTGTGGTAATTATAGTAACAATTACATTGCGCTCCGCCAATAACCTGGCTATGTCTATCAGGGGAACAAGGTGTCCCTGGCACATGAAAGGTATGAACACAAAATGAGGCTGAAATGAGTTTAAGGCCATTGCAGTTTGAGTGTCTAAGCTAGATGGGCAACCAATCAGAGTAGTATGAACGAATTTGAATATGGTGCTTGCTTTTATGGTTCTTTCATTAGTTAGATTGGGTGGCTATTTATACATGCTGCAACGGTTCTAGTCTTATGTAAGGATATACGCATGCATATAGACTGAATAGATTTTAGAACTAATGACTCCATCCTGAAAGCTAACTGGGTTTTGTTTTGACTTGCATTCTGGTTAAACTTTCGGTTTGGAAGTAACCTCCGAAAGTTGGACTCTTCAAAATCCAGAATTATATGCTTTGAAAAGTCTGATATGCGTTAGATCATGTGCAGATTGAAAGTCTGACTAATACAACGTGCTTTATGTTGTGACAACATCCAAATGTAATTAACAAGACAAGAAGCAAAACCAATAAAAGTAGTCAGTGTACAAGAATATCCAGATATTAGTACATAATGACTTTTCTAGTTGCGCTAGGTAGACTATGTCTACGGTTAAAAACCTATGAGAGATACCTCTATAATCTGAAAAGAAAAAGTAAATGAAGACTACAAGATGTAGCAATTGATATTACAAATTATAAAATCTAGCGCAGTCAACAGTGTTTCTTATGTGTTTTAACCACGTAAAAGACCTACTAAAGTTCTATTTTATGTTAGTAGATCCGAACAAAATAAAGTCTCTAGTAATTAGTAAGTAGATATCCATACTCTTAGGAGTGATTTTCAACGTCCGAGACGCTTCAGGCCCAAGACAGAAAACTACTGAAAAGATGCCAACAATCCCATGCCATTGGTGTCGACACTCCAGACAAATTCAAGCCACATAAATCAACGCTCGGCAGATGGAGCCAGTTAAAAAATTGTATGGGCCAACATAACTCTGCTTAATTTTTGGATAACAGCAAATTAAGGTGAAGAGACTTGAGTTGGACCAGCTGTATATAGTTCCAGCTAGGTTCTGCTATACTAGAGAGGATTGTTTGACTTTTCTCGGAGTTATCAACAATGCTTTCGATGGTTCAATTTTTCATGAATGCAGTAGTTGAACCGCATGGAAAGGCTCATGAGGATTAAGCATTTTATGTAGTCTCTTTCTTTTGTCCTTACAAGTTTAATTTTTGGAGATTTCGAGACAGGGTCCACGGTGAAACGGAAGAAAAATGATGTATAAAAACCATTAAACTAAGTTTAGACTAGAGTTAGTGGACATTAATTATCTTAAGTGGATAATTGACTTGGATAATTATATCTAGGTCTATGCATATGCACACGTACATACATTGTATATAAAAGCACAAATTTCAAAAATACAAATAGTGAATGATAAATATCTTTAATAACTTATTTAAATTAATTATTTTATCTTCAATTTATGAGTTTTTTATTAAATTTTAATATTGATTAATTTTTATTAATTTTTTATTAACATTAATGTCATTATTAAAGTGAACTTTTCTTAAAAGGGGATGCGTACCTTTTTATCGGATTTAAATTCAATCTAACTAGTTTCAAAATGTTTTAAACCCAATTAAGTTAATATAGGAGGATTTAAGTTCAATCTAATTGGCACCAAAATGCTTTAAGTCCAGTTAAATTGGCATAGAAAAATTTAAGCGCAGTCGATTTAACCAGCACCAAGATGTTTTAAACCCAGTTAAATTGACATAAGAAAAACTACCAAGAGATTTCAACATCCCCATGCCTTGGGTGTCGACACTCATTTCCATCCCTGAGGTTTGACCGTCTACATCCCAAAGAAAGACAAACTACCACTAGATTTCAACATCCCCATGCCATGGGTGTCGACACTCCAAAAAACTGACGCCATAAATCATCATGGGGCTGGTTGAAAATTGTAGTGGTCAATATAATTCTGCTTACTTTTCGAATGACAGGAAAGATTTAGAGAATGAATTGCAAAACCTTTTGGAACTGCTTTACACTTCCAGGTAGTTTCTGCTGATACTAGAGAACATTGTTCTGACTTTTTCAAAGAGTTATCAAGAATTTTGACCTTTATTAGAATTATCATGCATCCTGCAGTGAAACTACATAGAAAGGTATTAGGGTCTAGGGGAACAAGGAGAATTGGAGTTTTATCTATTTTGGCTTTACTAAACTATAATTCTGCCTTGTAGTAAGGGCATCAATTACCTTATGGGGCTGATTGACAGAGGACAATTATATAAATATAATGATTAGAAAAAAAAATAAAAACCATAAGAATGGTCTACCACATGCTAGAATTTTATGCAACACTGTTATGCCTCTGCCTTCCTCCCGCTGATTTGTAGAATATCTTTGATTAGCCGCTTGACATTGAGATAAGAGGATCCCTTGTTTTCAAATGCCTTCTTTGCCAACACCCCAAGCTCCATTGCTCTCTTCCTTCTCTCTTCTCCTTCTCCTCCTGCATCCATTACCAAATTTATAGCCTTCATAATTTGTTCTCTCTTCACCATCGCCCCATACTTCTCTTCCTCTCCCCACTTCATGGCAATTTCAGCTCCCACCCTTTCCCCAATTCTCAATACTTGCACCACAAACTTTTCATTGAAAAACTGATCAGCCAACAAAGGCCATGTTATCACTGGCAAACCAGCACATAATCCTTCTAGCACTGAATTCCATCCACAATGTGTCAAAAACCCTCCAATTGCTGGATGAGACAGTATGGAAAGTTGCGGTGCCCAGCCATGGACTAAAAAGCCTCTCCCTTTGGTTCTCTCCTCAAACCCTTCTTCAGACAACCATTTCTTGAAGTCATTAGATTCATATCCTTCTCTGATAACCCATATGAAAGGCCTGTTTGATGCTTCTAAGCCTAAGGCCATTTCAGTTAGTTGCATAGGTGCAACACAACTTAATGTTCCAAGGCTGGCATACACTACTGAGTTCTGTGGCCATGAATCAAGCCACTGCAAGCACTGGATTACTTCTACTGACGCTTTGTTTCCTCTCTGAGCCTTATCTAGTTTGCCCTTGTTATAAAGTGACACAGGGCCAATACACCAAATCTTGTCTCCTTTTGCCTTTCTATATTCTTCGATGTATCCTGATTCCAATTCTTCAAAAGAATTAACCACCAAACCGTATGATGCCATGTCTGCTACTTTCATGTGTTTTTCCTTGTCTTTTAAAACTATTGATCCTGGATTGAAGTCACTAGGCAGCTGGGCTTTAGTTAGTTCAATCCTATCCGGTAAACCAGGCACCACGAAGGATTCTAAATCATCAGAGACCTTCTCATGAATCTTCGAAATGCCAATGAAATGTGAGCATGTCAGAGTAAAGCAGCTTGTCCCATCGAAAGCAAGCCTTGGAATTTTGAACTTTTGAGCAACATCAAATGTCCAGGGAATATGTCTATCAGAGATAATACAGCTTGGTTTGAGCTGTGTCTCTTCCAGGAACTGCTCAAATGGATGCTGAAACTTGCCAACAGCATCCATAAAATTCTTGGACAAAAGCCGTGATGGGAGAGCATCTAGATTCTCACAACCCTCAGGCAAGCCAGCATCGATGCACGGAAATCGTAGTTGGAGAAGTCGGATTTGGATCCCAGAAGCTATATCACGATCAATGATGCTTTTAAACCTGATAGCATTCAGAGGTGTGGTGACAATAGTAACTGTCACACCATGTTGAGCCAGTAGCCTCCCTATGTCCACCATGGGGATAAGGTGGCCTGGGCACATTAAGGGTACCAAAACAAAGTGAAGCTCAGGGAACTGGGAGGACATGATAATTAGGGTTCTCTGTTCTTCTTTTCTCCTCTTCAGGACAGAATATGTTCCAAGCGGTCTGTTTGCTGTACGCTTTTGTGCTAGTGGGCTCTGAATGAGGAACATTTCATGTATGGACAAAAATATATAGTAATTTATCCGGACACATGTGAATGTTGTCGTCTTTTGTATTATTTCAACTGAATT